CAGGCCGGTAAACAAAAATAAATATATTGCTTAATAAATAAACGAGGCGTCTACTCAAATATGGTTATCCACTAAAAAGAACCTTTAAGTAATACAATCTATCGGATTAATAAATAAGAAAAAATCCATTACTTCTATATATATATATATATATATAGAGAGAGAGAGAGAGAGAGAGAAAAGAGAGAGAGATAGAGAGAGAGAGAGAGAGAGAGAGAGATAACAGCTTTCTGAATGTTGATTTTTCAGACCAAACCAATGTCCTCCTTGGCGCAACACAATCTTTTTACCTTCATCTCTTTCCTTTTTAGCTTTGTACCGTAATTGTTAAAGAATATTTGAGGGAAATAATAGAATTGCAATGAACTTTAACTAATCTATGTTTGATTGTTTTATATATATATATATATATATATATATATATATATATATATATTAAATAAAACAGACCACTTTAAGGTTCCATGTAATAAATTATTTCACCACAGCCCTTTAAAGGACTGTGGATCATCAGACTTTACTTCTAAAGGTTGAAAATAAAAAATGAAAAGAAATTTACACATTTTTGACAGGCCGTATTAAACATATGTAAATAAATTTCTATTCTTTTATACTTAAAATAACTTGATGTCTGGACATCAAGTAATTTTAAGTATAAAAGAATAGAAATTTTAAATTACATCTAACTCGCTCATGTCTTCTCTCTCCCCCTTCACTTCCTCACTTCATTTATTTACATATGTTTAATACTGCCCGTCAAAAATGTGTAAATTTCTTTTCATTTTTTGTTTCAACCTTTGGAAGTAAAGTCTGATGATCCGCAGTCTTTTAAAAGGGCTGTGGTGAAATAATTTATTAGATGGAACCTTAAAGTGGTCTGTTTTTATTTAAATTACATTTACATTGAGCTCTCTGGATTTTATCCTCCTTGGGTTTACCCATACGGATTACCTAATTTTCATAAACTATATATATATATATATATATATATATATATATATATATATATAGATAGATAGATAGATAGATAGATAGATAGATATAGCTTACTGCGAACACCAAAAATGCAGTCTATAGGACATGCGTCATCAGCGTCGTCAGCTCTACGAAATCGAGACTTGGTGCCTCTACTCCAGACAGGGGAGACATGTATGCCTGTCATTTTCGATGTCTGAGACGCACTGTGGTCATCAACTGGTCCGACCAAATCACCAAGGCTGTAGTTAACCAGCCTATACGTCCTTCTCCAACAGCACCGGCTCCGCTGGCTTAGATATATACACCGTTTTCCGGATGGGGCGATTCCGAAGGTGCTTTTATACGGGGAACTTGCCACTGTCAAGAGGTCACGAGGGCAACCTCATCTCCGCTTCATGAACATCTTCAAAAGGGACATGTGTATGATGGATATGGACATTGAGAGGTGGCGAGATCTCGACAAAGATCGCTAACTCTTGATACGCTCTTTACACCGAAGGCTGGAGCGAAGAGCGAAGAAACAAAAGCTTGCCACCGAGGAGGTGCGTGCTCGACGAAAAGAAAAAAGACAAAATCGGAGAAGTGAGTCTTCATATGCATTAATCGCAATCGATTCCAGCGTGGACCTGTACAGCCATAATAAATGCTGCGCCGCCATTATTTATATATTCTTCTCTGGAGGAAAATGTAACAGATTTGGGGTCTCGTAAACTTCTTTATTTAGCTAAATTTTCATTTTTCTTTTTTTCTTAAAAACAAATTGGAAATAGTCTCTCAAGTAAAAGGAATCTAGAAAAAGATTTGTCATTAATTCTCCATTTGAAAAGACATATGAATTTGTGACTTGTTTAGATCCGCTCCAAATACAAGTCACCGTTGTATAATCGGACAGAGAATAAAGGACTCTGTTCCTTTCAGTATGATTCATAGGATCCAGGAATGGTTGTTTGAGAATATTCATGATTATGCCATGCTAAATATCTTGCTTTAAGCTCTCGGAATTTGAATCTCCAGGACTACGACATTTGAGCCGTCGGTGAAGGAAGACCAGCCAGATACTTCACAATATCAAGGCTTCATTGAAAATCACCGCTTTGGGCATGATGGGCAACATGGATAAGAAGTACCTAATCTGGACAGGCAGTCGCTTCCTTTTTTGTTTTGTTTTTTGTTTTTTTAATATTTTTTTCCTAATTGTCTGGCACACCGAAACACACACACTTATATATATAAACACACACACACTCACCCCACACATATATACACACACACACACACACACACACACACACACACATATATATATATATATATATATATATATATATATATATATATAATGATTATATTATCGCACCGGTTAATTTCCCAATTTCCCATAATAACCTAATTAGATCGCATATCACGAACCAGCATAACAAAACTTTAAATGAAAAAACGAAATCATTATCAATAACTTAAAATGCTATGCCCTGTAAGCTGTAAAAACAACTACAAATTCTCGAAGCCAATATCCTTAAAATTTTCTTCAATTTAATACGAGTATATAATATATATATATATATATATATATATATATATATATATATATATATATATATATAGGTGGCAATAAAGTCACTATACAGTTACTTAAAAAAAAACATAGCATTGAAGCAGGTGGCTTGCAGTTCGAACACTATCGGTAATTAATTTACTATTGTTTACCATAGCGTTTTATTGTTATTAACCAAAATTAACCAGAACCATTTTAATAATAAATTTCTGGACTGTTGATTTACTGCTATCTATCTATATCTACATATATATATATATATATATATATATATATATGTGTGTGTGTGTGTGTGTGTGTGTGTGTGTGTGTGTGTGTGTGTATGGGCGCGTGGTTCAAAACGTAATGAGGTTTTTCAATCTGCTGATCATGACTATGCACGCTCTTCTCGAAACTGTAACTAAGGTCAGTTCAGCATAATTGAAGTATAAACCACAGGTGGAATCTGTGGGTCTTGAACAAACACAAGCGTGCCAGAGCAGGTGTCTACGGTAGGGATTCTTAGACGGCCAGTACGCACACACACACACACACACACAAACGCACACACAAACACACGCACTCACAGACATCTAGATAGATAGATAGATAGATAGATAGATAGATAGATAGATAGATAGATAGATATGCATCAGTGGAAATTGAGGTCAACACCCAAATGCGACAGTCTGTTTTATGCTAAACGCAATCGTCAGGCTTTACCTACCCTTTATTGAGCACGTTAACCCATTAATGTAGCATACCTTAAAACTATATATATATATATATATATATATATATATATATATATATATATATATATATAGTATCTTATCGACAGAGCTAAGGAAGCCTTTTAATGTCTTGTGAGTAATCATCAGTTCTACCTTTAAAAAGCGATACGAATTGAAGTCACTGTTGCATAGTCATGCAATGAACGAAGGGACAAATGGATAAAGAGAACTCCCTTGAAATTCTCTTGCTTGTTCGCTGTCTGACTCAGTACCGAGTTAGAATCATCCAATCCGTTTCTTTTCCAAGATTTTGCTAAAACAAAAGGAGGTCAATATAAACAGAAAAAAAAATTCTTCACTTCTCCGAAGAACCAAAAATCTTGTAGACTTTGTAACTATAAAACATGAATGGGAATAAGTTCAAATGAAATCCGATCGTTCTCAGTGGCAAGAAGGAAAGATAAAGATTATTTAGACCCAGAAAAATAGCATTGGAACTAGATAACATACGAACGTGTGCTGAAAAATTCTTAACCCGTCCAACATTCTGATATTTGGTCAAACTTAGATAGAGAGTTGCACAGAAAAAGTTTTTGTATCTCTTTGTATACACGCAAACATTTTTTTTAATGATTGCACCACAAGCAAGGCAAAAAAGCCACTAAGATGCAAGGGGTAAGTTAGTGTGAGAGAATATGAGAAAAAAACATTAAGGAGAAGGAACAATAAAAGAAATGGAAATAAGGAAACAGAAAATAACGAATGCTATTAGTTTTATATTTTTGAAGATCAAAGTTAATTGGAAAACAAAAAACCGGAAGAGTGTTCCACAGATGAGAAGAAACATTTAAGATAGAACTTACGGTTACATCCAGCCATTTCAACTGTAAAACGATGAAACGTTGCCGCCAATCTAATACTGTCCTTAAATTTATAAAGTATAGGTACCATAAATGAAAGTTCATCAGAAAAAATGACCATGAAAATATTCATAGAAAAGGCACACGTTATGTTGGTAGGAAAAAAAACTGATGCTGAGATGCCAGCTCAGGACCAATATCTTTACTAAGTTTATATAAATTTACTAAGGTAGCCTCAGAGTTTTATACACCACTATAGTTATGGAAGAATAGAATATATAAATTTACTAAGGTAGCCTCAGAGTTTTATACACCACTATAGTTATGGAAGAATAGAATATATAAATTTAGTCTGATGAAGTTATTCTCCACATTGTTATTCCATTGCTTAATATAATATAGTTATATCGTATATGCAGGATGAAACTAATATCCCTTAACACACACACACACACACACACATATATATATATATATATATATATATATATATATATATATATATATATATATATATATATATTATAAACATTATATTTACTGGGAACAAGTGTTTCAGTATATACACCCTGTTGATTTCTTAGTGAAATTAATGTCTTCTTGCCTAGAGATCGAAAGTCTTACTAAGAAAATGTACCTTCTGAGAGGATCCGAATCTGCATTCTCTTTTCAAACCTGAGAAACAACTTTCACGCAAAGCGTGCTTACGATTAAGCTACAGGAAGCGATCACAGTAAAGTAACCCACAAAGTTCACGTCGCCAGTAGTGGTCTTACACGTCTTATTGCTTCACTAATTCCTGTATGGACTCAGGATCACTGACATTAACATCGACGTACTACATACATTCAAGTCCTCCATCGAGTTCCAGTTAATTTTCATATAATCTTAAACATGTTGCCTTCAAGCTCCGGGAATACTCCGTCTGAGATGTCGGTGCGAGGATAATAGCTAGATACCTTATTAAGGAATCGTTGCAAGTCGCCATTGTAAGCATGGTGGTTAACGTGAACAAGAACTACTTAATGTGGGCAATCAGTCGCTTTTCTGCATAATTTTATCTCAATTTTTCTGGCGTAATTCCCCATACACAAATAAATTTATATATATATATATATATATATATATATATATATATATATATATATATATATATATATATATATACCGTATATTTCCGCATATAAGACGACTTTTAAATCCCAAAAATCACCCTTAAAAATTGTGGGTCGTCCTCAACTACAATTCTAAAAAAGAAAGCTTAAATTCTTCGTGATGTTTGTCGGTAAACTCAGCCTCAGTGTGATAACCAATAACGCACATGAAAAGATTTACATTATCAAATAAACTGATAATAAAAGTAATAAAACCATTTCTACCTTATATATTACTGGAATAACTTCATAATAAATTGCACATTCGAAGAATAATTCCATATCAATGAAATCAATTTGTATTCATGCAAGTTCAGCTGAGAAAATGTAAACATCGATTTATGATTGCGTTCACAGCAATGAAATGTACTATTATCCTACATTATCGTACTGTTATTAGCGGTATTTTGTTATTGTCGATGAAGTATAAGTAAATGGTCATTAGTACACCAGGCTGTTTGTAATTATTTAGATAGATATACGAAAAGAATGGATAGAAGAAGAATCAGTATTCGCAAGAGATCTCGTGATGAAATGTAAACAAAACAATGGTTTCCATTTTAGGGGACGTGCGTAGGGAAGACATGATATATAATCGGTTTTGTTATTTCGTTAATGTTGAATTTCTAAGGATACAATAACAAAATTTCCAATAACATCATCTTTATATAATCAATAAGCAGTCGTCTTATACTATAGGTATAGGATAAATTCATGAAGATTTGCTATATGTTTTTATGTCGTCTTATCTAATGGTCGCCTTATACGCGAAAATATACGGTATATATATGCCACCTTCCAAATTGATATTTCCACGCACAAGTACAAACTTGGTGACCTATGTCTTTTTGATTAAAAAATGCCACGTTTGGCCCTTTCAGGACGTAGGCGATCATGGGTCTCCACAGCGACATTTTCCTTATCATCTTTGTCATGTATTATTTAGGAAAATAATGGAGTGGTTTTCCCTCTTTTAAACTGGTTGCCACTCAAGGCTAGAAAGGTCGTTTTTTATTTTAACCCATAGCTGTAGGGTAACAGATGAATTCATGCCTTTCTCAAGGTCGTTAATTTAAAATTAAGCGCAACAGAATAGACTGAAAAATATATGTCTATCTATTAATTCATTGTCATTTTTGTTCTATAAATGATTTCGTATGACGTACGACTTCATCGGATTAAATTTATCTTTACGTTGATGCAACTACGCATGCGCACAAACGAGCGGCGCTGGGAATTTTAAATTTAAAGATGATTTTTTAATATGTGTTTTAGGTATAAAATTGTTGAATCTCGAAAGGGTTACTGAATGAGGAATAACCAAAACGTAGAGTGGGAATGGTAATCTTTATAACATCAACAAAATACAATACTCGCCAGCGGCGTGAAGTAGGTAAACCACTGCGAGTGGTGGACTACTTAGACAGTATATTACGATATTCACCTGCCTCCCCACGATGTAGGATGTGGCACAAGGCCAAATTTAAAGTGGGGAAATCTGAGCCCGTGGGTTCAGGCAAAAATTGCCCATAGACCCGCATACGCAGAATGGGGCATTTGTCTTTTCGGGCATAGCCTCCTCCAGGTTCCTCTCTGCCCAAAGACAGTGAGTTCGACATGGCAAGAGCTTCCCACGCTGAGAGCTCACGCTGCTATCTTAGGCAGCATATCTATATTTATTGTGTAAAAGGATACAATAATGGCACGAGGCCGAAAAAGTGGAGGAGTTGAGGATGGTGATCACTAACTATCTTATACCTAGCTAATCCGATTCACGGCCCATTTACTCATTACAATTTGCACGTTCACCATAAAAACTCGCCGGCACCAATCGATCCTCCATACACCATAATACCGCATCCTTTCAAGGGGTTCCTACAAAACGCACCCCATGTCTTAGGCAGCATATTGCACTCCCCCCACCGACTAACAGTAGTGTCCAACGTATTTATGAGGATTGGGGCATACCTACTAGTGTTCATAGGTATGGTATATAACAAAAATCTAGCCGATTCCATTTAGATTGATTTTTTTTTTTTTTTTGCGTTTCCATCACTTTTATTAATAAACCCACAATGTCATTATAGAAGATCTGTTAGGAATAGTGAAATATTGTAAGAACCTGGGTGCAAATTTATTGTGGATGATCTAGCGATTAAAGCAATTTCTAAACATTTTCGACTGAGTGAATTGTTATCTTTTTTAATTAGACTAGCATTTTAAACGCGTCACACGAAAATAAATTTTCAATTTTGTTATACATTTTTTGTAAAATTGATATATATATATATATATATATATATATATATATATATATATATATATATATATATATATATATATATATATCGTTATATATATATATATATATATATATATATATATATATATATATCGCAGCTATAAAAAAAATTTTTTAACCTTTTATTGATAAACTTTACAAACCGTCTTTTTTCTTTTCTTCACTTCTTTCCTTTAGACTGTTTCTCATTTCTTTTCTTTTTTTCTTTCTCTTCTTAATTTCGACCTCTTCTTCTATTCCATTCTCTTTTTCTCTTTCTCGTTCTTTTAATTTTTTCGTTCTTTTTCTTTTAATTTTATTCTTTTTCTTTCTCTCTTTCCTTCTTTATTCATCTATTCATTTATTGTGTTACTTTTTGGGTTTTATTAAAGTTTTCCTTCTTTTTTTTTTTCGTCAAACAGCTAAGATATTTTTTCTTTCCATTTCATTTTTCTTGGCGGTACCGGGTTACATGAATATTTGAAATTGCTTTGTGTCATTCAACAGCAGAGTTCGTCACAATTTCAGGTCATCTCAGGACAAATTACAAAACCTCTCCAACTCATCTGTTCATTTAGCGAACTAGTCTGGTTGAGCATTTCTACTGAGTAGTGAGTTCAGTTATTGTGTGGACCCCATGGCTGTCGACTTGTGTCAAACAAATTTAAGTTAATTTACACTATTTACAGGATTCGTACTGTTTTCATCATCTTTATTGCCATATTCACGACGTTTCGGACATTTTACGTTTCAACTTTCTTCAGGATAAATACATGGAATTTCGAACCGAAACCTTTATTTAACCTACCGGTGGTAGATTGTTCTAATCCCATGTGCCATGCCTTTTTTCCTTTCGTCTTTATTCTTATATATATATATATATATATATATATATATATATATATATATATATATATATATATATTCTAAAGAATGTATTTATCGAATGCCATATACTAGAATGTGCCCGTCTTGACACGGTACCCAACTTACCACAAAAGGATCACACACCAGAATATTGTTTGTATCCATTCTTGTTCGGGACGACAGCGTTTCTACACATTCGAATATATATATATATATATATATATATATATATATATTCGAATGTGTAGTATATTCGAATGTATAGTATATATATACATCTATATACATATTCGATATATATATATATATATATATATATATATATATATATATATATATATATATATGATGTTACACCCTATTTCATTGGCAGTTATATCTTATCTATAAATCTTTATCTAATAAATTCTTCGTTCACCTTCCTTCCTCCTCCATCTCTTACGATTCATTACATCTTTTTACGCCATCTTCAAATTCTTGTCTGTTCCATGCTGCCCAGCTGAGTCACCATTGATTTGAACACGGCTACAATCCCATTACTACTAATACTAGCAGTACGCATAAAACATTAGCAATTACATCTTCCACTTGAAATACATACAACTACACCTATCCTGACTCTAGCCCCCAACACTAACTCCCTCTCTGCAATCTCTGTTACTATTGTGTCTAGGTTGACCAGTACCAGAACTTCACTGCTGCTACTGCTTCTTCTATGGTCATTCTCACTGATCTTTCTTTCTTTCTTTCTTTCTTTCTTTCTTTCTTTCTTTCTTTCTTTCTTTCTTTCTTTCTTTCTTTCTATCTATCTATCTATCTATCTATCTATCTATGTCTTTTTTTCATCATTACGTTTTTCCATTCATTTTTATATCCGGCTCTATGTTTCCTTATTCTGTTCAACAAAACGTTCCGGGATTCTAGATTCTTTTTTTTTTTTCTTTAACTCTCCGCAAGTATATTCAAATGGAATCGTAACGGTAGGAGCAAGCATTCTTCTATTAATCTTTCTTTCTCTATCTCTCTTTTCATCGCTACCTAATTCTATCTAGCTATCTGATTTCCTTTCTTCTGGCAGTCTTTCTCTCTCTCTCTCTCTCTCTCTCTCTCTCTCTCTCTCTCTCTCTCTCTCTCTCTCTTAAGTCTCTTTATCTATCTCATTTCCTAATCTTTTTATGATGGCCATGATGATGACTTCCTCATAATTTCTAACTTGGTCCATTCGCTCGTTACATTACGCCATTCTTTTTCTTTCCGTTTTCCTTTAAGTTTTTTTTTTTATTTTTATAAGGACCTAATATATTTTTGGTCAGTCATTATTTCGTATGGATACTTAGCTAAACCAATATTCTCACGCAGTTTTTCGCCTATTTTCTTCCGTCATTCCCTCCACTTTCTTCTTCTTCTTCTTCTTCTTCTTCTTCTTCTTCTTCTTCTTCTTCTTCTTCTTCTCTCTTTCTCTCCCTCTCACCCTTTCTTTCGCCTTTTGGTTTAACTCCCTTTCTTGTTTTTTTACTCACCTCCGTCTATTGCTTTCGATTCTACCAATCATTTATAATTTTCCTTCCAACAATCATGCCTCTTTTTATATTTAAATAAATTCTCAAGACCTGCATTTCTCTGTCCGTTTTTTGCTCATTTCTTTGGCGCTCCGTCTTCTCTCACATTGGCCATTCCTCCTCCTTTCTCTGCCTCGATTTCAGTTCGATAACCATGCTCTAACTTAGATCTCATCCTTTTCTCATTTTACTCTCCATCTTTTCACTACCATCTCTCGCTAGCGTTTTCTTCCTTGTCGTCCTCGCTTCTCTGGGTTTTTTTTCCTCTTTCTCTCGCTTTCTTTCTTTCGTACATTTTTTGAAATTCTGTCCCTCTTCCACTCTCTTACTCTCTCTCTCTCTCTCTCTCTCTCCCATGTCTTTGTGATCTATTTCGTCATATTTATTTATCAATCTCTCTATCTATCTATCTATCTATCTATCTATCTATCTATCTATCTATATATATATATATATATATATATATATATCAAGAACACCGTTTTCTAATTCACTCTTTTTTCCTTGTACAAGCTATTTTTAATATTACCTTTTTCTTCTATCCGGATTTACCTATATTTTTCATTTATTTTTCTTTCCTTCTTCTTCTTCTTCTTCTTCTTCTTCTTCTTCTTCTTTCTCTCTCTTTCCCTTTCTCTCTCTCTCTTTCCTCTATTCTTCATTTCTTTCTACGTTTCTCTTCCCGCCTTTATTTCTTAATTTTTTGTAGTCTATCATATTTGCTTCCTTCCCCCCTTTCTAATCTCTCTTTCCGTTGTATTCGTCATTTTGTCTTCTTTTTATGTCGAAATATATTTCCCTCCTCTTGCTCTCTCCCCCTTCTCGCTCTCTTTCCCCACCCTCGCCATCTTTTCCCCGCAATGACCATCATTAACAACTACGTCATCCTCTTTGCATCATTTTCGTCATTCTTATCATTTCTTTCACCACAGTGATTACTATTCTTTCTGTTGCTCGTATAGGAAAACTATTATTTATTTTATTCACTGGATCAATCGTTCAAATTCAAATTCCGAAAAAAAAAACAAAAAAACTTACAATTCAGATATTCAAATTTGCTATTAACCACATAGTACTGACGTACATTGAATTAAACCAATTTTGGCACAAGGCAACTTTTATAACGCAAATATTCCTCCACATACTAATAAAAACTGACAATTATTGATCTGTCTTGCCTTACCTTCCTTTTCTAACCCCACGGATATACGTAGAAATACATATAGTAGATAGATATGTGTAAGACAATTTGTTGAAAAGATGCGTAGATGTGTATCTGTAAGACAATTTGATGTGTTTCACCGATGAATTGATGTTATCAGAAAAACACTTTTATTTCAGCAATATCTACATTTTGTTGAATTTTTTTTCTGACGACATCAATTCCAAATTTTCTAAATGGCATTATATATTTTCTATTCCATCGAATTTTCGCCCATCCAACATTTACTCATGCAAATACGTGTAAACCTACATATAAAGTATATATTAAGAGATTTTTTAGAATGGCGTATGTTAACGTCCGAGTATCCATAAGGCCTGCTGTAATATGTATGGGGAGAAGTTATAGATTTTTATCTATTATTATTTTGTCATCGAGCGAGAATGCTGCAAGACGTAGTTCCTGATGACATGACAATCTCCCGGCGTGCTTCAGCCGAAATGACATTTCCTTATCGAGTTTAATTTCCTCATTACAAATAGACTCATCGCCATTATTGGTGTCCTTATTATCATTATTATTGATGTTTAATATTACTTGTTAGTTGGGCTTTCAAACGAATATTATCCGGTGGTTCCCCTCTGGAAACCAAGTGACAACAAGTATCTTCCGTATTCTTGCCAATTTTAGCAATGCTGCTGTCCGTATACATTCATTTCTTTTCCAAATTCTTAGTCTTTCCAAAGTTTTCGCATGACTCGCCGGAACTATGCGAAGCACTACTTTAATGATAAATACACATTTCTTTATACTAAATCCCAAGAAACACTCAAGATAAAGGGTTATTGAATGAGGTTTCTGTAAGGGTGTAAAGAGAGGGGTGCATATTATGAGGATAGGTCGGATAGACAACAATTGATCCTAGAGGTTAAAAGGTTAAATTGTCATGATCATAGAATACTCTCGGGTGCAAAAAGGAACAGTTATGAGGAAGAAGGCGTCTGTGTGAAAATTTCTCCTTACCAATAGAATGCGAAAGGGATTAAGGTGAGTTGACTTGTATACGTGGCGCGGTGGGTCTTGGCCGTGAAGGTCTGAACTGGTAGAACTGATAAATTTAGCTCATCTGAACATTTGCAATGGAAATAATGTTAGAACAGCTAGGGGCTAGCAACATTTCTTCTGTTGGAAAGTTGTTGCAGCGTATAAAATAGTTAATCACCCTCAAGGCCGCGTAATTGCTTTTGAACTCTGTCAAGGCTGGAAAATGATGACTGGGCAGCACCACTTCTCACCTTAGTATTCTAAAACTTTTTCAGTTTTTTGACAAAATCCAGATATTTCTTCAATTTGTTATCTTCTCTCATTGAATGTCTACGCCGTGACTGACTGTTTGCTAATATTATATATAAAGCCGCATTATAGATAAAGTGTCGTTGTTTTAAGAAATACTGTCGTTTGGAAGATCCTTCTTACGCCAATCTTTTTCCTAGGCACTTCCAGACCATTCTTAGCGCTCCGATAATAGCTGGCACGACTATCTTTTTAATTTTCTTTCGAAAATGCTTCTTCGTTTTTTTTTTCTTTTTTTTCTTTTTTCTTATTTTTAAGCACCTCACTTCAAGCAAGGCAGGAGAGTCACTAGCACGCAATGGGTTAAAGAGAGTGAAAGTAAGAGTAAAGAGGAAAGGATAAAGAGAAGAACGGGGATCAAGGAACCAGAAGATATCAATTGACATTACATTTGAATATTTAAAGATTATAGTTATCAGGGAAGCAAGTAAGAGGAAGGGAGTTCCACTGTCGAGAAGTGTGAGAGAAGAAGCTGTTGGAGTAGAAGAGGCGGTTACATTTAACTGTTTCGACATGAAAAGAGTGGGACCGAGATGCTAACCTAGTAGAGGCACCAGTGAAAAATAGCCCGTCAAAGCAGTTACCATGAAAATATTTGTAAAAAAGATAGAGGGAAGCCACGACACGTCTGGAGTTGAGATGCCAGGTCAGGGCCTATAACATTACATATCCGTCTTTGGACTGCCTCCTAGCAAGTTCTTTATACTTATCCAATTTTAACTTTCCTTCAGATTTTACATGTTATTTTTTTTATTTATGAATACCAGGTCTGGTTTTAAGGCCTTGGTTGGGTAATATGTGAAGCGCTTTAGCGGAGGGCGAAAAATGAGACACTGAATCTGAAGGCGCATTGGAATAGCAAAAGATCCGGGAAAAATTGCATTTCAAACAAAGAAAAGATAGCTGAGCTGCTACGTAATATCGATCGTACTATATGACAGTGGATGCAGGAACATTTTCTCACCGATGAAGAGGAGACGCGGCAACAGAGATGTGATTCTGCAGAATGATGTTGATAATTCAATGGATAGAGCACGTAAATAGCAAAAAAGTCTTTGAAAAATGGAAACAAGAAAGAGACTTATACTAAAAATCAGTTGAAATTTCTTGAATGCATAATAAGGAAGGAAGTCTTGGAGAATTTCACTCACATAGGATATATTGAAGGTAAAAGGGTCAGGGGTGCAGTAGGCGTCCAACTTTTGTGAACGGATAGCAGAATGGGTGGTGAGAGGCTGATAAATGTCACTAAGAACTACAAGGGATGGGAAGTTGCGGAGAGCTATGATCGCTAATGTCCTGAAGGGAAACGGAGGCAAAAAAATAACCTTATCATCAACATTATTATTATTTAAACATTCACACCAAATGCTTAGCGGTGTCTCTAGGGATAAAGTGACAGCAACTCTGTTCAAACCTTCAACAAGATTATTGCTTTTGTTATTATTATTATTATTATTATTGTGGCCTTGTTAGGGCCAGAAATAAAGACACAAAGAAAGGAATTGAGTTAAACAAATATATTAACAGAAACAGTAATACAAACATATACAAAAGAGAGTGTTACAGCAAGAATGTTCGGCCCGACTGTCAGAGCTGACTGCTGGAAACTTCCCTCTCCAAAAGGCAGTACCTGCTCCTACTTATAGCTAGGAGAGTCCATGCGTGCGTGGGAAAATTATCACAACAATTATTATTATTATTATTATTATTATTGTTATATTAATTATCCGTTTTGATTGTGGTTTGGGATTTACAAGTACTCATCTTCACAAGTGCTATGATCATTACCCTCATCAATATTACAATAATTGTTAATCAGTATCATAGTGATCACTATTTACTATCATCATCATTGCTATAGTCTTGTTCTTCCCGAATTTTTAATGCTTTTTTAGGCGATCATGGCTCTTTATATAACTTTTCTTTACTATCTGTGAATTACCATGACGTCTTGGGAAAGATCGGGAAGTAAATCCTTTTGCACTCTTCACGGTTTTGAATTTTATTCTGGTTGTCACCAAAGGCTATATAGACCTGCCTACCAGCTATTTAATCCATAGTTGGGTCGGAGGAGACAAGAAATCGACTCTTGCCTTTCCCAAGGGCATTTGTACGAAAATGATCGTAACAGACGAAACTGGTATTTTAAAGCGATTCGCCGATTTCACTATCCGCGCCGGTAAACCTTACACCCACCTCTTAGTGATTATCACCTCAGTGATAATAATAATAATAATAATAATAATAATAATAATAATAATTCAGCGACTCATCACATCCAAGATACCACCAGCACCATTACCGACACCATCATCGCCATCTTTTGTACTTCGTACTAAATATCATAATCGAGTTAATCTGACCTGCACTTTCCCAACTGCAGTTACTGATGGTAAAACATGGTATAGATGGGTATGGGGGCATCTGTCACCGATTGATATGACGTGAGTAACGGACTGGAAGAAGTGAAAACTTTAGAGAAGGAGGTGGTCGCCTGGAGTGCAGTATGCTGTCTGCAGCCTGTAGAAAAGGCAGAGAAGGCAACTCAGTGGAAAGTCTTCAGCTGGACGAAGAGTTGAACAGATTCGCTGAAAGCTGTATTAAGCATTGATATTTGGCAACGAAAATCACCGACGGCATTTAACAATCTCTGCTGTTGTTTCTGCCCTTGTTATAAATCCATTTTATTTGCTTTTTCTGGCAATAAGCAAAATAGTGATAATGGTTATGTTGTCGTTTGTAGCAATCACGGCTTTCCACAACTTCCTGTTCTTTTTAGCTCTTAGTAAGGTTTCTCCTAATCCTTGTCCTGCCAACCAATTACACAACCTCATTAGATAGGTTATCCGCTGTTTTCCTTTGTCCCTGCTGTCTTCAGTACGTCCTGTGAGTGCCAATTTCTCCAAGCACTTCTTCCTCATTATGTGCCCTAAAAATTTCAATTTACTCTTTTTGATTCTAAGTATATAAATCCTTTTTGTTTACTGTTGCTCTAAAGACCCATCGTTACACTTATGTTCAGTCAGTATCCTTCTGTAGAACCACATTTCTGTTACCTCAAGTTTTTTCTTCGTGAGATTGTTAAGTATCCACTGCTATATAGGAGGGCTGTTCTTACATAACAGTTTAACGCTCTTTACTTTTTTTATAACGAAATTTTCCTATTTCTTAATATTTTACTTAGCTTTTGGAAGACATCTTTCTCCATTCCAATGCACTTTTGGATTCCGTTGTCGGATTTTCCGTTCTGTTGAAACACTTCCTAGATATTTAAATTTAAGTACTTGTCTGATTTTGCACTTGTCTGTAATTATTATTAGCAATTATTAGAGGACAATATTCAAAATTATTATTATTTGTATTTTTATTATTATTACTCTTGCATTCATATAGTAGTAGTAGTAGTAGTAGTAGTAT